GAGCTCTGTTCTGCCTCCCTTGAAAACTGCCCTAGCAGAACATTGGCTCTGTGACTCCAAGCAAAAGGACTCCCTCATGCCCATGCCCTGTGAAGGTTCTACTCCCTTAGCTCTTGGTCTGGGCTAAGGCCCGATGCATCAGAGATGAAGAAGAGCTGGTGGCTTCCCTGCCTCTGGCTTCCCTGCTGGAGAGGCCATGCAAATCGGCCACAAAGATGCTGAGACCACATGGAGCCAGAAAGAGAGACACAGTCCCAGCTACCCAGTGTCCCAGATGGACCAAGGACTAAATCAGGCAGAAAGATTTTTTAAAAAGTAAATAAATAAGATAGCTGTTTTAGGGCATAGGATTGTGTTACTTGGGATTTAGATTATAGCAAAGAAATAAAATTATCTGAAAAGGGTGTTGGAGAGATGGCTTAGCTGTTAATGGCACTGGTTGCTCTTCCCGAGAACCCGGATTGGGTTCTCAGAACCCATATGGTGGCTTATAACCGCCTTTAAATCCAGTTTCATGGTATTAAATGCCATCTTCTGACCTCCAAAGGCATCAGATTCAAACAGAGCATCTGTACAGGGAGGAGAATGAAGTAGGAGGGTCCCTAAAGAGGAGCCGGGGGAAAGAGAAGGAAAGAAAGTCGAGGAAGAGTGTCAATCAGTGATTTAGCACTGGATCCCAGGTCGACCAGGGACTGCTGCAGAATATTGTAGAATGTTCTTTGGAGTTTTCCTACCCAAAGAGGGAGGAATCTGAGAAGTTTATCTTCTGCCTCTGGGCATATCCGTTCTGTAGGATTTCTAGTGAGCCTCACTTAAAGGCAGTGATACAGAGAACATGGGGGCAGAGAACATTTGAGTTCTGGAAGCTACTGGCAGGGTTCTAGTATGTGCTCACCTATAAAGCGAAGCCTTTGGCCAAAGCTCATGCGCCAATGGGATGAGGGAAAAGAGGGAACCAGAGAGGACTGTGCACCACACTTCCTAGGATGACAACATACTCTTAGTGGGTGTCTTCTCAGAGAACATGGGAAGTTGCCTGATCTCTCCACCATGCCCGTGAGAGGAGAAAGGCAGATTTCCAAGTCCTTGGTTGCACTGATAACAGTAATTTAGTGACTTACTGTTAGTGAGTGAGAGGCCCAGGATACAGGAGTAAGGAGAAGCAGTGCCTAGTAACCCTAAGAGTCTGAGAACTGCCACCCCTGCAATTCCTTCCACCTCTTCTACCACCTGCAGAAGCTGGAATCCCCAGGACCCCCAGGAGGAAGATACATCTTGACATCCAAGACCAGGATGGATCTTGAGGTGGTACTCAAGTCAAACCTGGTCCAGAAAGCAATGAGACTAAGACAAAACCAGGCAGGGAGCCCTGATGATTCATTTCATGAAGTACAATGGGTCACATCACAGAGCTTCCCCAATGAGAAGGTTCATAAAACACTTTTACAGGTTGACTCTTGAGTCTGGAGACAATATCTCAGTATTGCTTCCTGATCATTATAAAGCATAGGACATTAAAGGATGTCAGTAAGCACACAGAAAAGGAATAGGAGATTACTAAGGCCTGAGTCTAGTTCCCCAGAATTTCATGTTGTACCAAATGTTCATTCTTGATAAAAATTATTGCAGTCACAAAGTTTGACCTAAGCAAAGCATCTTTCCGACCACATCGCTGATAATGTTCTTTCAACAACAGGCGAAAACATGGTAGCCCGGCAAAACAGTGAAAAGTGGGTTTGTTGTGCTCACATGTCCAGAGCTCTTGTTTCTGCTCATGTGTTGCCCAATATATTTTCTTTCATCATGTGAAAGAAGAAAGAACTGCCACATTCACTAGATTCTCAGATGGTGTCAGTAATGTTGAGCAGTTGTGTTGTATGGCAGAATTGGGGCTCAATTTGTGTTGATAGGCTGTGACATCAGGTAACATCAGGTTGGCATAATATTTAAAAATAATAAGGATCTGTATTCAACAATACAAATAAGAGTCAACTCTGTCCATCCAGTGTTTGGGAGCAGGATTGATAGTCAATGAGTCAGAAAAACCTGGGGATTTTAATTAACCCAAGACTCAGCAAGATCTACCAGCAGAATACTTATTTTTAAAAGCAATTTTAGACTGCAGCAATAGGTCTTATTTTCAGCAGAAAGGCAGTGATGATCTTAATAGATTCTGTACGGGCACACTACAGCTGGAGCGGTGTATGTTCAGTTCTGGGTGAAAGAGTAAGCAATTAGATGCAGGCAGGATTTCAAACGCTTGTCACACAAGGAATAGTTATCAGCACTGGCGATAAATGAGAACAAAATGATAACATTTTGTAGGAATAATAGTGGCCTCCATCTATCTGACGAGCACTCAGGTGCAAAAGGGAGTCAACATATCCTCCTTACTCTGCCTTTTAGTCAGCTATGGCCACATTAATGCTATGTGGGCCACAGCAGCATCTGTTTATCCTGTGGGCATCTGCTGGTGAGCAGATTTCTCTGACCTGATGGAGGGAGCTGACCTCAGACTCAGGCAGTAGTTTGGGTTTCAGATGTGCTCTGTGCTCTTCTTTTTCTTCTTCTTCTTCTTCTTCTTCTTCTTCTTCTTCTTCTTCTTCTTCTTCTTCTTCTTCTTCTTCTTCTTCTTCTCCTCCTCCTCCTTCTTTTTTCCTTTTTGGAATCAATGTACCCCTGCAAATAGTTTCTCATAGTCATGTAAGAAGCATAAGAGATATGTGCTTTCAAAGCCTCTACAGGTTTCATGTTGACCAAGACTAAGTTATCCAAAGTCAAGGGGCAGGGAACTATACACTTTCCACTCTGAGACCACCAGAAGGGAGTTGCATATATTCCTATCACAATAGACTGGCATCAATGACCCTACTTACCCTCTTGAAATTGATAAGATAAGCTAGAGTCCATGGTCTAAAGCTACAGTAAGGCAGATTTGGGTATAAGGCAGTGAACAACTGAATGGTTATTTGAAATGCCCAAAGATGGAAACTCATGGCCCAGAAGTTGAACAGAGTCCATTAGCTCATTCCCAAAAGCAGCAGAGATGCAAGCCCACTATCATTTGGAAAGTTAACCCTGCACTGGGCACCTCTAGCATACCATGGTCTCATCCCATGGCCTTCTCTGATTATGCCATACTGTTTCTCTCTGGAGGTCCTAAAATGTTACAGCTAAGTGGTATCCCTGGCAGTTTCCGGAAGGGTTTCTCTCTTCCTAACTGCTGTGAAAGCATAGGTGCGTCAGACTGGGCCTTCAGCTTCTCTTGCCTCACTCATGGCGTTAGCTCTGTGGCAGGCACCAAGTCTGTAAAAAGGGCAGGAAAGCATCTCCCAACATCCAGTCTAGCTCAAGTCATCATTCCAGATGAACGTCTTACCCTTCCCACTCTATAGCCCGCTCCAGCACACTGACTGCCTTTCTCTGTCCATGTCCACTACTTCTCAGGCTGTGCTTAGACGTACATTCCCCCCTCACAGGCACAGACCCCACGCACCCTGCCCGGTGCAAACCACACCCAGATGCTGTTCTCTCCAGGATGTTTCTGTTCATGTTCCACCCAGGAAGCTGTCTTCCTTCCTCATCTGCACAGTCCTAACACACCTCATGGTACTTAGTGTGTTCATGTCACAGAAAGGATGACCTGGGAGCATTTAGCATATACATTCTCAGATCCCATTTCATGATACTCATACATTATTGTTCTGATAGGAACTTCAAGCAAAATTCTCTTAAGCAATAAAGACATTTGGTTAGTTCCCACAGCAGGGTATATGGAATTGAGTGGTTTGGGGGCGGGGGTTAGCACGGCAGGTTAATGAACCCAGGCTCTCTCTGTCACCCGTTTTCTGCCCTTCTCCGTGAGTTGGCAGTATCTCTTCCCATGGTTGACAGACAGCTGCAAAAGCTCCAATCACCACACCCTAACACCAAGAAGCAGACAAACGCTCTTCATGATGTCTCTCTCCTCAGGATCAGGGAATACACTCTGCCTGCAGACATTTCCTTGCACCTGACTAGTTAATAACAAAGCCCAGGCCCACATCTCTGGTCTGTCACTTGCAAAACATGAATGGATTGCTAAGATTGCATTAGGTCAAGTGTGAGCCATTGGTAGTGCTGAACAAAATCCAGGTTCTAAACTGTAAATAAGAAAGAAAAAAATGTGTCCGTATTTCATTCTTGCACAGCTCCGGGATTTGACCTGACTGGGGTAAAGTGGTAATGAAGAAAGACAGAAAGACGGGAGGGTACACAGAAAGGCTGGGATTGGGTGGACTGGGCTTTGTCATGGAGGTGATACAGCGTCTCAGAAGTTCATCATGTTTATGGTGCACACCTGAACAAGGCTTTATGGGATCTGAGTCAAGGAGGCAAGCTTACATAATGTCCACAGACGCAGCCTCTGTAGGGGAGCAGTTGGGAGACAAAACAACTGTGGTGGACATTTTCTGCACACACTATCAGTGTCCACACATGGACCAGAGGAATCTTTCCCATCCCTCTGAACCTGACCTAGGGAAGGTTTGCCACTCTCATGGGTCTGAGGTGTTGGAGTTCTTGACGTGGCTATGCCCATGTCAACAACATACATTTGCTTAGGGCTTCACTCCCTCCCTTTGCTAACCTGTGACCATCACAGCCATTTACTGAGCTGCCCCTATGGGACAGTAAGCTCACTAAGGATGGGCATATGTCCAGACACACAGAGGCTTCTCAAGTCTTCAGAGGCTCTGCAGCATGGGTCCAGTCACTGACCCTCTCCTCCACTGGCCCAATGCTGTCTTGAAGCTATTGTAAAATCGTCAGGTCTCCATTCCCCCTCATCTTGTTTTTAAAGCTGTCCTTATCTCCAGGACCTCCAGGAGAGTTTGAAGCTGAGGACTCAGGTGTAGGAAACCTATCAACACATACTGAGTATTTAGGTTCCTGGGGCAACATGTCTCAGTAAAGGAGATGTGAGTTAAGCACAGCTATTGTCTAGGCTTTTATTTCTCCTTTTATTGCCTGTCATAAGGTAGGATGGGGTGTGAACATATTAGATAAATGAGAGGTCAAAGCACAATCCCAACACCTAGTACCCTTGTGCCTTGTTTTGTGGAACCATGTGAAAACACGAGCATTTTCCAGGGATGCTGACCAAGGTTAATAATGACCGTGTGTCAGACCCTATTCTAGATGTCTGAGTTCAAGGTCATTTCTAGCGCAGGTCAGTTGCTCCATACTTCAGTTGCCCTCTCTCCAGTCACCTGATGCTTTCAAAACCCACTGAGTGGTTCGCAAAGGCATTCCTTGTCTTGAGTGCAGAGGGTGTCGTTCTGTTTCTCACATTCTTGTTCCATCTCTAGGGAGATCTGTGGATCTTTCCTCCAAGTAAATGCCCGTGTATTGGAAAGCCCTGTGAATATACCCTCCTTTGAGAATCATGCTTTGCTCAGGAAGCAGAAGAGCAGGAGGAGAAGGTAAGAAAGACAATGACCTCAAATGGTCTTTTCGGCCTCTCTGTTTTCACTTCAGGATGCTGTGTCACCGTCACTGGGGAGTGTCCCCCTTGTCATCTCTTCTTCCCAGGAGAATATCAGCCTCCTTTCACTTCCCCTTTAAAGTGATCATGGACTTCGTGCCCTCACCACCATGACTGCCTTGCTTTGTCCTCACCAATGGTGCCCGTTCTTATAACAAGGGTTCCAAAATGGCACTGTGAACTTTTGTGCCTAGTCACCGCATTTATCACAGACACCACAAAACTCTACAGTCCCCTGGGCTCCCCGCCTTTCATGAAGGACCAGTTTCCATTTCTACTCTGCCTCCTAAGAATAGGATCATATTATCCCCCAGTCTTGTGGCTGCTATCTCCCAATTTTTGCCAGTTCCCATTTTTTTGTGTGTGTGAAATGTGAGTTCACCAGGATGCACTCCAAGGACTGGAAAGCCTATTCTGCATGTATTTTAAACACCTGCTGAGGACACACACACACACACACACACACACACACACACACACACCTCTATCCTGTGTGGCATATAACAGTGTTTTTCAGGGACTGCCGTCATGCCTGTCATCATAAAGTAGGCATTCTTACTTCTGGGCAGATAGACTCACATCAAGCTTAGTTTGACTTGAACTTGGAGTGTTATGCTCTGGATGTTTAGGAAAAACAGTATGATAAGAATACTGGCAGGATTTTTCATCTGAAATATGAGCACAGCAAAGGAATTGGAGATATGACTACAATAAGTTTGTTGCTGTTTAACTGGGCATAGATGCATGCATAAATAAGTAGTATTGTGACTGAATCCGTAACAGTGCTGATCATACCCCTCAAGATGTCCAATATGTGAGGTCATCTGATGTTTTCCACAAGTCTCAGATTTTCAGAGAAAGCTAAGACTGAGGAAGGCTAAGTTATGTGTGTGCAACCACATCATCAGTATTTACCAGAGGGATGTGAACCCAAGCCTGGTATATGCCAGAGGGATGTGAACCCAAGCCTTGGCTGCCTTCCAGCTTCACTTGCATCTTGTTCTATGTACTGCTGCTTGATGATGCTTCCGTATGTACCTTCTGGTTAATGTTTACCCCCTTCTCCCTAGTACACCATGTCAAGGATGTGGCGCCAGCCTTTCACTTCCTGAATGGTCATCACGCAGTTTAAGCCAGGTTCCAAAAGGACATTGAAAGTGGCAGCCCTGAGCTTATGAAGAACCAAAAGCTGACTGCAGTGAACAATCCAGTAGTAGGCACGTGGTGGCCTTTCCTTTTCTGTAGTGGGGACCTCTTGAATGGCAACATGGCCTAAATACCTTCCAACCTTCAGGTAATCCCAGACAACTTGTAGATAACTGTCTAGAAGACAAGAGACTTCGTGGGGGATAAACAGATTCAAGAACACTGGTAGATGAGACAATTGGAACATAGTAGGAGCTCGAGCAGGGGGATTACAAGGTTTTCCCCTTCCTTCAGTACAGTGGAGAGAATGTGAGCTTTGAGCCCCAAGCCTGTGGATGTCCATTGATTATCTCTGGTGCAGAGAACCCAGGGAGATCCCTCTGTGAAGGCATCTTGCAGATTCCATGAACAAGACACATCACTCCTACCATCTTCCAAGGTCTGATCTTTCATGAATTTGCCTGTCTTTCTCACACAGTAAAAGCACAGGCCGGTAAATTCTTTAGCCTTCTGCATTTAGGAGCTGTGGGGAGCTGTCTTGATTGTTAATTGATCTAGGAGGTCCCAGCCCACCATGCGTGGCACCATTACCTGGGCAAGGTGGTCCTGAGTTGTTTAAGACAGCTAGCTAAGCATAGGTCTGCAGTGAGTCAGCAGGCAGCATTCCTCTGTGGTTTCTGCTTCAAGTTCCTGCTGGACTTTCTGAATTCCCTCAATAACGAACTGTGACCTGGAAACGTAAGTCAAATAAATCTGTTTTTCCCTTAAGTTGCTGTTGGTCATAGTGTTTTATTACAGCAACAGAAAGAAAACAGGAGCTAACCTCAAAGACAGCTGAGTGTAGGACAAATCAAACCTGGGCACTGAGTTAATGATTCAAATTTGTCCTAGAAGAAGCAGCTGGAACCCAGTGCCAGGAGACAATGGCCATAAAGTAGATTGGGTTCAAGTTGTCCACATCCGATTTTCAAAGATTTCCATTGCTCTCAAGTTCTTCAAATACAAAATCTGTTGTTTAAGAAAAATACATGGTAAGTAATTGTAAACACTGTGTAGGACAAATACTTTCACCATTTGGTACGGTTGCCCTTTGTTGGGACCTGAAAACCAGCTAGTTAGTAGTGAAGGCTACTTGACTGGTGCCCAACAAAGAGCTGGAGCTCGCTTTGTCAAATGCAGGCTTTGTTATTATTTGCTGGCTACAGTCAGGTGTCTGGGGTCCCTAGGTATCATTTGCTCTATTACTCCGTGTTTCCCTTCCACAAAGGAAACAAAAGAAGAGATTGACAAGAGAAAGGGAGAAAGGAAGGTAGTAAAGGAGAGAGGAGATAGGTTCCTATTTGTCCCACCTAGTAAGTTCCCAGAATGCCTTTCAGAGGAGCAAAGGTGACCCCCCCTCTTTCCCACCTGCTCCAGCCCATCCTTGGATTTGCTATTGCCCCGTGTAACCATTAATATCCAGAATCCAACTTGCAGGACACTGGTACCATCATGCTAGTCTCAGACTTGATGGGATATTTTTAAGAGAGACTTGAAGCAGTGGCCTGTAAAAGGCCAGTGGCGTTGGCTCTATCCTCATGCCCCTACTATTGTGCCAGGTGAGGGGGAAGTAGATTGTAAAATACTTTGGATGTTGTCAAACTCACACAGCCACCAACCACCTCAGATGCTTGTACCAGGCTTGTGACAGGGGACTGGAGGCATGGGTCTTGATATTCCAAATGATCCTCAACTCTTGACTGACCCTTGCTCAAACTGCTTTATCTGAGGTAAGCTAAGAATACACTTTCCTCATTTCTTTCACCCATTGCCTATTTCCTGTTTCAGAGGCCCGGTTAGAAAGGATAGCATCCTGTATTTAGCTAGTCTCAGTGATTGGTGTCAGGGAGGGTCAAAGTTTGGACAGAGCCACTTACGAGCTGTGTAGTTTATCCTCTCGGAATCTTGCTGCCGTTAGCACCAAAGTAGTAAGATGCATAACTCAACCTCAGTGAAAAACTCACTCCAAGTAACTGAATGCTGGCTTCCTGACCCAGGACGAAACACATAGGGAACATTCAAAAGAGGGTTGTTCTAACAAAGGTTGCTCTAGCATTTCAGACTCAGATTCTAAACAGAGATCTGTGTGGGATAGTCAGAGCTCTGGTGCCAAGCTCCCTGGATTAGAAACCCCTTGTTCTTCCACTCTAGCAAGTTATAAGAAGCAAGATGGAGATTGTGGCAGGATCTTTCCCATGGAGTTGTTGAGCAAGCTGAGACTCTTACTGTGTGCTTAGTACTACACTTGGGCACCATACTTGAGCCAAGGGCCAGGCCATCCATGTGACAATGAAGTTAATTAGGTGGCAGTTACAAATTCAGACTGATACGTTAGCTCAGCTTTGTCCTTGGAGAATTTATAGTATGGGAAAGAAGACTTGATGTCCATGATATTCTGCATGACCACGCTGTTCCTACCCATGTCACCCCAGGCCTCACCACAACAGTTAACTAGTGACTCCAGGAGGCTGCTAGCATTGGTGGTTGGATTGACCGAACATCTACTGCTGATGTCTCCACTTCACCTCTCTGGCAGTTTTAGCCTGCTCTGTGTTCACCAGAGTAGAATCAGGCAGGTTAATGCTCCCGCAGGAGCAACTCTCTACCAAGAGCTGGTGGGAGTTGCTCTGTAAACACCCTGCTGCCCTTCACCCCAGTGACGGGGCTCTGAGCTGGGTGTTCTTCGCTGTTCTTAGTGGTCCCTAGCAGACTGAGTCCAGATACCCCGGGCTTGGTGACAGAGCGTGCATCCGTTGGCCTCCTAGCCTTGTCTTGACGGTTACTCTTCACCTAGGGTTTACTGAAATCCGGAAGCTCTGCTCACAGAGGGACATGTGGGGTGGTGGATGCATTGCCTGCCTGGCTGCTGTGAGCAAATTCCCAGCAAGAGCAACTGAAGACAAGGAGGCTTCCAGGTTAAGAGGATGCAATGCACAATGGAGACGCAGCAGGTGCTCCAGGGTGGCTTGAACATAGGGCAACTGCATGTTGCATACATGGCTCTTAACAGGAAGTTGAGAACTTGGCTGAAATCTGGATGGCTAGAAATCTTCTAGCCCTGTCCCCACAGCTCTGTCTGCCAGCTAGGTTCCGCGCCCAAAAGTTTCATGACCGCCCAAAACAGCACCACTAGTGGGGACCGAGTGTTCAAACACATTGGCAGATTGACAGACTCTGAAGGGCTGAGCTAACCCCCACACACACACATACACCAAGTTCAATGATGTCTGGTAAGGCTGCAACAGCATGCATTCTTCTATCAACACCAGGGAAGGGACCAGGGCTCTGTGTTCCCTGTGTTCCATGAACCTGTTCCAAGAGTCCTTGTTTGGAAGCAAGCTTCCTTGGTGATGCCCCTGGAGGCCAGGAGCCATGGGTGGGCTGATGCAAGAATCTGAAGTTGTGTCTCTAGGCTATGACCACAGCCCAGCTGTGGGCTTCTTAATTTAAACACAACATCTGTGAGCAAGAGGAAGCATCTTCCATCCAGGCCAACTGTGGATCTCTTTCTGTTTCCTTTTTTAACAGGGAGGATTGTAAAAACACTTAACTCTGGGACCTTCGTCTGTGCTAATAATAATAATTAGAACAGTAGGTCCAACTGAGAGGAGTTCATCTCACAATAATGAGAGAGACAAAAGCACACTGCAGGCAAATAAGACGAACAGTAGGGAAAAAAATGTCAACCTCGGAAGGGCTGCTTCTAAACTCAGTGATTGGCATGTGAGTGAGTCAAGGTCTAGCCTAATATTTTATAGAAAGTAAAAATGGTAGAAGAGAAGATAGTGAAAACAAGATACTAGATGCTAGCTATGGCATTCAAGTAATTCAGAAAATTAATCTGCCAAAGGCCAACCTGCCTACTCTAAAATACTGATCTCCTAGTAAAAAGCATACTCCTCATGGCGTCATGGTGACATGATTTGAAAACACAACAGTAACCGCATGTGAGTATGCAGGCCTTGGGAAGATTTAAAAAGGAAAGAATAGGCGTCTCTCCCAGGAAATTGGGCTTTTGCAACAAATTTAGAATCTGCACAGATCAATGCATACAAAGGACACCCCAGCTCCTCTCTTTCAGCCCCTCCAAAACGCACATGGTGGTTTCCAACTGCTCACAGATGTTTCTGCCCCCCCAAACAAATACAGAAACAAATATTTACAGAGCTCTGAAAAGTCAACAGAAGTCACCTGGGCACAAGGTTTCCTTGCCTGGGCCCGAGATCTCTGGCCTGAGATTATTAAACAGAATGTCACACCTAGTTTCCATTGCAGGACAGGAAGGCCTTGCACCCAAAGGAGATTAGTTCCCAGAGTAGAATCATGAAAATAAAGACCACATCTTTTCAAGACAGTGTTTGCAGTTCCAAGGAAGACTGAACTAGAGGCAAAGATAACACTGGTAACATTTCCTCATTTGCCAATGTGTGCCGGAAAGCCTCAGGAGAGCTCATGGCCCCACTGTGAGTCAACCCACAGTGGTGGTTAGCAACAGCACAGTGGCTTCTGCTAGAGGCCGCATTGCCCACCTTGATTCGGTCATTTGCTGGCACGGCTTGCTTTTCCCGAATGTTCCAGACGTGAACGGGTCTCCACATTAGAAAACAGAGCAGTCACAGCTGTCAACAGTCTCTATGTCACTGTGGTGCTTTCTTTCAAAGGGCTAGAAAAACCTGACAATAAAAGACTGTGAACGGCGGGTGCTATGGAAGGAAGGGAAAGAAGGTGGGAGAGAGAAGGAAGAAAAAGGAAGGAGGGGAGGAGAATGAAGGAGGGAGGAAGGCAAGGGGGAGGGAAAGAAGCAGACAGGTACAGAAAGGAAGAATGGGAGACAGAAACAGCCCTGCCACTCTCAGACACTCGCTGGTTCACGCAGAGGGACCGGATAGCTTCTCAGTGAAATGCTGAGATTAAGCCCACAACATAATTTCCATTATGTTAATGTTGCTTTAAAATATATTGCACAGAGTGCTGCAACAATCAAATTATCAATTATAATGTCTACTCGGAGTAGAAAAGTGTTACAAACAGAGGCCTGATTACTGCTTCAGTCCATCCAATCTGCATACTCATTGTTCAGTACAGGGAAAACAAATTATCTTGTGTTGGCCCCAGTTCAAATTTAATTAAATGAGTGCAAAGCAATTATAATAAAGTACAATAGTGTAGTAATGAAAGGAAAATAACTCATTAACCTATTAATCTTTATTTATGTTCCTCTCAAATAACTATGTAATTTCTTTATCACCACATCCCATAAGAAAACGTAGAGTCTCACTGCTCGTGGCCTGCTTTAAAGATTGTATTTGGTTAAGATTTTTCGCAGCTGCCATTTGTATCTACTTTCCTTACCTTGAGGACTCATCCCTACCTTTCCCTCCCATCATGCTCCTGCCCACATGTTCATGTATATTGTCTAGGTTTTGGTGCCTCTCACGTGCCTCTGACACTTTTCAATCATGTAACGTAGAGCTCTCTGGAGGGTGTGGTTAGCACAGCAAATAACAGAGAGGCACCCTCTATCACCTATTGCATAAGGCATAAAAGGCAAGGGGGACCACTTCCGGGGAAGAGGGAGCCCACGCTTAGGGCCAGAAGGGCTTACAAGCTGACAGTATGTTTGGTCTCGCATCTCACTAAATCACTTTGTGAGGAGGCCTGATTGACAGATGAGAAAGCAGAGTGTTGGAGTTAAGAAATGTTTTGCCCAAGCCTCATAAGACAAATAGTAGCTCCTGGACTCCGAGTCCCGTCTATAGCCCTATCTACGCTCTCATAGACTTCCTTAGAAACTCTGGGGCCAATCGGAAGCAGCTCAGAATCTTGTCCCTGTGGTTCCTGCAGAGTCTGAACCTGGGTTCCAAGCTTCCCCGATAATTCCTGTGCATGTTAAGGCTTGAGTAGCACCATCCTGCCAGGTGCCAGCCACACAACTTCTCATGAAGAGTAGAGACTCAGGGAAGTCCTCG